CCAATAGGTGAAATGAATTTGATCCACATACTATGAATTATTTAACAATGGCAGTTAGATGAACTAAAGATTTTAAAAATGATCTGATCATTTTATTTTCTTTTATTTTACTGATGATAACTTTTTTTTTTCTAGATAGTTCAGAGGAGAAATCCTTTAAATTAATGTTATTGTCTTTAATATTTTTGAGAGTACTAAGAATAATCTTAATGTTCTTTTCGATAGCTTCCAACTTGTATCCCTCATCTGCACTTGATGAATTCTTGAATTTTATCATGCTTGATTGAAGAAGTCTTTGATTCTCTTAGATAGAAAGATATTCAATAGTATCTGATATATTTTCTTATCTAAAAATTTCTATTATGTGTGAGAATATTTCTTCATCCACCTCCAAAACTTTGGTAAAAATATCAAATAAGATTACTTGTTACTTTTTAGGAGTATTCATAATATCTTTTTAAAAAAAATAATGAATTTCCATTACTTTTAAATGAGGGTTTATATTTAAAAAATAAATACAAGAACAATAGCCTATTGATTAATTTTTTCCTTAATTTAAAAAAAGTGGTACACAATCACTTAATAATTGTAGTTCTTTCAAGAATTTGCTTTTGATTTGATTTTCATTAATACTAATTTATAAAATAGCAATAAATTCCTAAAATGATAATAAAAGAAAATGAATATTAGACTTTATTTGTTTAACTAAATGTAAGAATATGGAAATAATTTTTTTTGGGTGGTCCTAAGTTAGGAATTTTTATTAAACAATCAACCAAAAAATTGTTGATCATTCTCTAACAATTTACCTAATATTATTAGAATATATCTTTTTATGAAATTGAAATCCTGTCTATTGTCAAAGTCTGCTGCTTAAATTAAAGCTTAAGATAATGTTTATAGAAATTAATTTATCTTATAAAATGTAAAAACAATTAATGATTTTCATTTTGGAATGGTTAATTTGAAAGAAATGTCAGACAGACATGAAAATATTTCCAGAAGTTTGCAAGGTCAAAAGATTATTCAGTATTAAGATTATATTTATAATTGTAACTTTAAGGAAAATGATTACAAGAATTATAAAAATACAAAGAGGCTCTGGTGTATAATCATTAAAGATAGATCCATATGAGGAATAGACAAGAACCCAAAGAGGTATTCTAAACAATTAAAATTAGATTTTTGAAAAATCAATCGAGCAAATGAATACTCATTTTAATAGATAATTTTATGATTATTTTCATCTTTTAATTTTAGTGACGATTTAATTTAAATTTTTAAAACCATATATAATATCCATAAATTATAAATACAACTATAGTTCTAATTCATAATTAAGTAATCACTAATGGTAGATATCCTAAGTTTATGCCGTATTGTTAAATTGGTAATATTACAATTTTCTCATTTGTCCAAAGATACATTTAAATAAAATAATGATTGTGATACTGATTATTTGAATTTTTAAAGGAGAAGATTAGTAAAGCAGATGATAAAATAGATTATGTTTAACAATTAAATAATATAATAGGTCTTAACTAATAAAAACAATAATACAAATGATTTTCTCAAAAATGAGGGATTTTAATTCGGCATTCAGTAGAAATAATTGCGATATTGAGTTGTATCATAAAGATTATTTATAAATGATGCACAATTAATTATGATGCATCTTTGAGAAAATATGGACTAATCATGAATATCAATTAAAAGGAATTGTAAAATTTGGTTATCTTCCTCTTCTGTTAATCAAGGTACTGCTTATGGAAGTACAAGGAACTTATGCTAATTATATAGAATCTACATTAATAAATTCCAATTGTAATTCTTGGTTAAGGGATTGCAAAACGATGGAACTTAATGTATAAATAAAACTTGCTTTATTACTACCTTTAATATTTCTACACGTTCTGCTTAGTTTAAAGAATTACAAATAATGGATTAACAGATTGCAAGAGTGCTAATACTAATTAAAGATGCTATATTTAATCAATAAATTGGTTATTAACTTGTAAATATACTGTTTTTATAGCCCGAGCTTGTAGTAATTATGAATAAAGTATTTTATTCTTTACTCATGATAAATGTGATAATTGGTGTTATCTTCCTGTCCTTTTTTTGGGACAAATTAAATGCGAAATTAAAAATTGCACTAATTATGGTCAATAGATAGATATCATAATATTTTAGGAGCCAATTGCAAAGCATATATATAAAGTTTATTCTGATTTCTGATTCCTTTTTTAAAAAGAAGTCCTATTTATATTTAAAAATAATCTCTTTGAATTCTATTAAAAAAAAATTTACTAGATATTCATATTAATTGATATTTAATATATAAGACGAGAAATGTGAGATATCATAAGTACATTTGATCTGCACTTCTTTATAATTAAAGTTTAATAAAAGTAAAGCTATTTGAGATAATGAAGACAAAAATAGACTGATAAATAAATATTTCATATTAGAACCCTTATATTAACATTTATATAATGATATTATTATTTTAAAAATATATTATATTTCATTGTGTTTAAAATTGTTTGTTTTGGACGGATGTTAAATTTTATTAATTTGATTATTTTTATTTAGCTAGATTAATAATAACATCTGCTTCATCATTTTATTCCATAGCTTTTAAAGAAGCAGCTTGAAAATAGTTCATATTATTATACCTTTTTTTTTAATATACTCTTAATTAGGTAGTAATTTGATAGCTAGATCATAAGATTACACAGCTTCTGAATATTTATTAAGATTATGTAGTGCCTCTCCTAGAAATATATTAAGTAATAACCTCTTAATGCATAAACTTCGTGTTATTCATCATCAATTAAGATAACCTTCTCAAAATATTCTATAGCTTCTCTGTAAGCTTCCATTCTAAGTAATCCCAAACCTAGAAATAATTGAGAGTTTACCTTTATTTAGATGAGCATCTGATGAATTAGGATTGAGTAGTATTGCAGCATCAGCAGTTTCAATAGCTTCTTAATAGTTTTTTAATTGATTTAAACAATGAGCTAATAATATTTTATGTATTGATTACCTTTTAATATTAAGGCTGTTTAATTTTTTGGATTAATATTTAATGTTATGTTAAAGTTATCTATTGCTTATTGATATTTTTCTAATTTTTCTAAGGCGATACCTAAAATATGATGAATAGTTAAAAATACCTGAAGATTAATATGCCTCTTCATGTTCTGGATCTATCTCTAATGATCTTTCAAAACATTTGAGAGCTTCTTCATATTGTTTCATAACAAATAATGTCTTTCCTTTGAAATAATAAATATATGTTTAAACCTTTATAGTAATGACCAGCAAAGTCATCTGGTAATA